TGATGTGGAAAAATTGGAAGTGTTTTGATTTACATATATAATCGAGTGGATAAATAATTGGATGATGGATCACTAGAAGAAAAAGCCAATTTAGCAACTGAAATTTGCAACTACCATAATATTTAGTCGCAAAAAATTATTTTGCGACTAAAAAAAACAGGTAGTCGCAAATTTTGCAACTAATTTTTCAACAGTTGCTATGTCGTCTCTAATTTGTGACTGATAATTGTAATTAATCTAATATTCAGTTGCAAAAAATAATTTTGTGACTGAAAATACAGGTAGTTGCAAATTTTGCAACGAATTATTTAATAGTAGCTATTCTGTTGGTAATTTGCGACTGAGATTTGCTACTACCCTATATTCAGTCGCAAAAAATACTTTTTGCGATCGAAAGAGATTGGAATATTTAGTTGCAAATCTTTAGTACTCCTACTCCGTATCAGTTTGATGTCCATACTTTTCAAAGAATTAATTGTTTTTTTTTTAATTTAGGAGAGATATTTAGGTTTACTCAAATTAATCAAAGGCATTGAAATGCGCGCTCATCTTCACTTCACTTTCACGGGAGTACCTTTGTTTATTATTCTTAAATAAAGGAAAAATATACAGAGTATTGTTTTCTGCTTCAAGAAGTAAAACCTCCGTTTACAGGCTTAATCAATTTACCGCTTATTGCTTCGCCGAGCACCGCACCAACGACCACCGCTCCACCGACCATCACTCCACTGCTGCCCACAGTGATGAACGTCTACAGCACCACACCACTCTGCTGTGCCACCATTGGAAGGTTCGAATTTTTCTTGTCATGGAGTAATTGGATTCCGATAATTTGTAAATATAAGAACATGGATCTTTTGAATGATAAAGTAAATTTGTAGTTTTCATCACTTAAAGAAAATTAAGATTCCAATTTTAGGTGATTGAATTTTTTTTTTCAAAGTTCTAGTTTTAGGGATATAATTCGATCGATTCGTTTAAACGCAAATAATTCAGTCGAAATGCAGGAAGTTCAATCAAATTACACTTAATTTTGTCAACTTTACATTTATTTTAGTATTAATAAAAATGATTTTAGTCAAATTAATCTTACCTAAGTTCAATTTAGAACCCTAATCAGATGAAGAACGAGAAATACTTTGCAAAATATTTTAGAAATATTGTTTTGTTTTGCTTTTCTTTAATTAAAGGGTTCGCATGAGATCTTGTGATTGAAATGATTTGATGATTAAATATTGATTATTGTGATCGAAAGACATGTATTAGTTGTTATTTATGCATGGGTTTTGTGTTTCGTCTTGCGAAAACCTGACTATGATTTTCATTGAGGAGCTCTGTTCTGATGGAAATCTTGTCCTATTGCATTTCCTTCGCCAAAGAAAGCTCGGCCGTTCTCAACTCCGCTAGGAGAGGAGGCGAGGGTGCTAGAGTTAGAGAAATATCGCCGGAGTCTGTACCTCTGTCCCTCTCTTTGAAATCTTATAATTTTCGTGCCTGTTTTAGGTAATTCGTAATTTTTGTCATTTTCACTTTGGTTTCTTGGTTATGATTGATTGGGAAAACTTCTTCTTTATCGGGTTATTAGAATACTATAAGCTAAATGAGATTAAACTCTCTGATAGTCTGATTTTGCTATTTAAATTTGTAGAACTAAAACAACTAAATCTAACTAAAACAACAATATTAAACTCTATGAAGTCCACTTATCACTTTGTTTTATCATATCACTCGTTGTAATTAATCTTGTGTTTCTTACAGCTACTAAGCAATGGAGCCAACTACTTGAGGTAAATTATCCTTTGAGATAACATTTCTAGCAAAGTAACTAATAAACCTCGATATTGTGAGAAACTAATTGACAGCGGACCACTCCCTAATCCGGGCATTGCATAGTTTTGCAACCTCCTCCCCCAATGTACATGTTGGTGGTGATGAACTAAAATCTGTTCTCACTATTTGAGGTTCTGTTGCTGGCTTGCTGCTCCCATAATCATTGCTATTGTTGTTGCTACTTGCTGTTGTTGCTGCTTTGTTATTGCTGTTGCTGCTGCCAAATTGGTGTTGTCCTACTGTCGCTACACTGCTGCTACTAATGCACTAGCCATTGAAGCATATTGATGAATATTATCAACTGCCTCGTTTTGCAGTACAGTATAAATTTGTAATTTTTATACTTGTAAATTATAATATAGTGTATATTGTATTATAAACAACATATATAGTTTCCAATATTGTAACATTTATGTATATATAGAAAATCTATCATTAACTTTTAGTGATGTTATATTGATATCAATGATACGCGTGGGTACCTAATGTTTTTGACCCTGCTATTGTTCATCCCTAAATTAGTCACAAAATATTAATAGTTAGTTGCAAAATCTAGCAACTGAAAGTATGTTTTAGCGACTGATTGGTTAGATGTAATAAATTGGACTTAGTAGTCGCTAATCTATCGTGAAAAATTGGTCTTCATAGTCGCAAAAATTTGGTCTTTGTAGTTGCTAATCAGTCGTAAAATATTGGTCTCTATAAACTTAAATATTTAGTCAAAGTAGTAGCTAATCTGTTGCTAATATTTTGCGACAGAAAAAATTTTGTTGCAAATATCATCAAGTTAGTTACTAAATAGAAGTCGCAAAGGCGTCGCTAATCCGTCGCTAATCCGTCGCTAAAATTGCGACTTACTTAAAATTAGTTGCAAAAATGGATTTGCGACGAGGTGTTTAGCGACTGACCAAAGTAGTCGCAAATCCGTCGCAGATCCATTTTAGCAACGGATTAGCAACTACTTTTTCCGTCGCTAAATTGGTTTTTTCTTGAAGTGGATGACTTAGAGCTGTACCAGAATCCAATTCTCATCCATTCCTAGACTTATCCGTCACTTGCCTCTTCATCAATTTAGATCGGATTATCAATTATCGATAGTGGGTGCATCGGGTTATTGGACATTTAAAAATTTGTATCTGTAATTGAGATTGTGTCATTCTAAAAGATTTACCCCCTGTGATACTAGCTAGTGAGAGTGATATCCATTTTCCATTCATAACTTTTTCTTTCATCGATAATAATATAAGAGAAGCAATTACGGTTGTTGATTTCATATCTTATGCTACAGGACGTTACAATTTTATGACACCGTTGGGAGAGGTATCTAAGCTAATTTCACAATCTGCGCTTTTTATCATTATTTCATGTAGGCAAATATGGTAGTTAATTTTCTAACTTATCCTGGAAATAATTATTAACGTCTTTGCACATTGAAACCACGCATTATCCATGTCATAGATTGTAAAAATATATGCTTCGTCAACACATTATTTACTTCTCGACGATATTACAGTTGTATCTATTTTAATTTAACAATCCGCAGTTTTATTAATAATTTTAATGTAAAGAATAAACAATCGTAAATTCTATAACACAACCTACACATACTTATCTTTAATTTTGAGTTTATTAAGTGACATCCCTTGCATGCATTTGCTTTCTCAATTTGCATTTTTATAATTATCTTATAGATGGAAATAAATGCATGAATGTAATAGCTCAATCTACGCATTATTTATGCCTCAGCGCTGTTGAGAGCATGCAATCAGTATAATTTCCCTTTAAGAGTGGACACTTTCTTCGCAGGGGGTTCTACTTTCACAACCCGCACTTTTATTAACAATCTCTTAGCAGGGTAAAATCATTTGCACATTTTATAACACAATATTTTTTTTTAACAAGAAGAAAAATGATTTCATTAATAAAAGATAGCCAAACGACACTTACAAAAAATTCCTAGGAAATATAAAATTCCAACACAAGTAAAAATCACCTTAGAACTAGTTACATCACAGATTCGATCAACGATCGCCTTAATAAAAAAAATTCATCCGAAGCAATACAATCTGTGAGTTAGCACTAATTCGGCTTGAGATCCATGGAAGAGTAGTTGTTTGGATGAAAAAATTCATATGATCTTCTAGATACTTTCGAAGACGATGAAACCCTAAATCTTCAAACTTTAGCAAATGAACAAACAAAGAAAATAACCCTAATTGAATAAACACCATCATAAAGATGGGATCCAGTTATTAAAAACAATTAAAAAGTTTTTTGGGGCTTACCACCAGTAAAAACACCGGTGAAATCCCCTACAAAAATTTACAATTGAGATCAGAAGAAAATAGATGAAAAAGAAAGAGAGAAAAGGAAAAGAGTGAAGGAAAACCTTCAAAAAAGTAGAAAAAAAAATCTATTCTTACATTTAATTATGACATTATTAAGAGTAACATGAATTCTTATGCTTACTTTTAAGAGTACAGAATGGAAATAAATGGGTATGATAGATACGCATAATGTAAATCGGGGAGAATCCTCGAATTTTATTAATGATAGTAAGGTGTAACTAGAATTTTTTTTTTTTTTTTATTGACGGATTGTTGACTTATTTGTTAGTTTGGGGAAATTATGACGGTACCAGATTTCGAAAGTTATTTAATTATAAGAGAAAAATACGGAGTGGTTTATCTTAGCCATCTTTTACTGTTGTAGTTTAAGATAGGGAAACTAAGGTCATTTCAAGGGAAACAACAGTCTCCCATTAGCACATACAATAGAGATTTATTATTTGACACTGCACATTTGATACCGATTTATGTTTCCTTTTATTATAGTATGTAGTTTTATCAAAATCTTCAGATTATAAAGCAATACCACCATGGATTTTAAGAAATGAAAAAATAAATAAATTATCTCCTAACACCAGAGCAATATCCAATTATATTTCACAACTGATTCTCGAGTTATGCTCGATTTTTGAAAATAACAATAATTGAAATATAGATCGAAGTTAGTTTCTAGCGAATTGTAACTTGGTAGTTAATTATAATACTAATCATTAGATAAATAATAAGTTTCTAGACAAATTAATGTAACAAATACACATTTTGTAGACCCATTAATTATTATTTTTAGGAAAAACATTATTAGACTTTTTTTTTTTTTTTGAAATAACATTATTAGACTTTGTTTTCCGTAATATCCATTTTTTTCTTAATAATGAAGAAAAATATCTCTGGTTTCAAAAAAAAAAGAAAAATATCTCCATTTTCTTCATTTCGTCAGCAATGACGTACTATCTACAAAATTGACCTAATTCTACCCTAATCCAAAAACAACATCAAAAATATAAATAGTCTTTTTTTTATTCATTCACTGTCACTTTCATTACAAGCCGCCACCCTCACTCTTGCATTCATCCTCAAATTCAGCATTCTCATTTCTCATCCGATCAACCCTCTTTACCTGCGCCACTCTCTTCAGGTACTGATTCAATCGAAAATTCTTCACTAATTCCAATTAAAAATTCAATCAATTGCAAACCCCTAATTTTATAATTTAAACTCAATTAATATTTTTTTTTTTTTTTTGTGTGTGTTTTTTCATTTTGTAGGCCAGCTTTAGATCCAGCGTTGAAAGATGATGAACAACAACTCATCGCCCAAAACCATTCCGGATGATCTGATCATGGATAACATCCTAACAAGACTTGAAGTGAGACCTCTACTTTGCTTCAAGTCTGTTTCAAGAGGATGGCTTTCCATGATATCGAGTCCTGAATTCGCCAAAAAGCACTTTGAATTGATGTTCCCCTCGCACGATCAAAATCTGATTGTTCAAGAGGAGCGTGATTCTGAGGAAGAAGATAAGTTTTATTTATCGTTTGACAATAATTACAATCTGATTGAGTATACTAGATTGATGAATAGACATCCTACTCTTCGATTTAATACTCTAAATACTCGTGTGGTGGGCTCTTCTAATGGGCTATTGTGTATGTATGATGAAGATAGTCTGCGCTTGTATGTTTGGAACCCTGCGACCAACCACTGCCGCGAGACCATTGTTCCGTTGGCTCGTGGTAGGTGGGATGATTTTCAAATGAAGTGTATTGGGTTTGGTTATGTGTCGTCTATTGATGATTATAAGATAGGGTGTTTTGTGTTATATAATCAAACTTTACAAATTCTTATGTTTTCATTGAAAACTGGGATTTGGACACAAAAGCCTCAGACAGTTCTATACTATCCATTGTTGTTAACATTTGAAGATGAAAACCCGGCATTTGTTGGTGATACCATTTATTGGATTCCTCAACATTTGAATCCAGAGATAAACTACATAATTGGGTTGGATTTAGTTGAAGAAGATATGGTGTTTATCCCAGTAATAGCAAGATTCCCCGGAGATTGGGTAAGTGCAAAATTATTTCGGATGGAAGGGTGCTTAGCCTTATGTTTAATTCAGAATTATGCTAATGATGAAAAGAGTATTTGTCATGTTTGGAAGATGAAAAGGGAGGAATATGGTGAAGAGGCATATGCGATTTCGTGGAAGAAAGTATTATGTCTTAACTATGTAGGAACGGATTTTAATTTTTTATTTGAGACAGGGAAGTGTTTGGTAAGTCAGATATCATATCAATCTCATCGGCTTATACTACATGAACTTAGCAAGGTATCGAAACCAAAACAAGAGCAAGAGCAAGAGCAACAAGAAGAGCAAGAGCAAGAACGACAAAAACCACCCGATGAAGGTACCATTGTTTGGGAATCAGCAGATGGAGGAAGCTTGGCTAACTACTTTTCATCAAGGGCCACATTCGGCTATTCTGAGAGTCTCGTTTCACCTTTGGAAGAGAATGAAGATTGACTGAGCTTGAGAGAAGATTATGAAGAAAAAGGGACTTAATTAGGAGCCAATTAATAATTAATCAGTGTTTGGTGTTGTTTGTGTCAATTTGTCATTGTAATATTAAGTTGCTTTTTAGTCTCAATTTTAGTCCAATTTTACTGTTTGTATTGGCTAGTCTTAGCAATCCAGACATTACTATGTTGCCTTGTAATAGAGATTATCTTTTGCTTTGGTTAGTTGCGTTAAATTAATTAAAAGATCAGTTGTGGTTCTTATATTGTTTGAGCAAAATTGATAGAGTTTATGTTTGACATGGTAAAAACGGCAAAATCCTGAACATCTATAAACTGAATAAACCATTCTCATTGATATTTTGTAGCAAGCACATATCTACTACTCATGAAATTTTTGTTTCAAAATAAATGTTTAACAATTTTACAAATCTAATTATCTCATATATTAGTCCTTGTTTGACTAATCTCTCTTCCTTACTTTGATAGTAGCGTGTCATCTATACCCAGTATTTAAAACGATCTTGCTAACGAGCGTCGCGGGGCGTTAGATAAGGATAAATTATATTGGTTGAAATGGTATTGAGTTAGGAATTCATGACAAAATCACTCGTCGTTCAGTATAATTAATGTTAATTTTACTCTAATATTTGCACTTTAATTCTCTTATCTAACGCCCCGGGGGCGCTCATTAGCTTTTGCCTATTTAAAAACACAAATCATCCTGCATTCATTGTCATATGTCAAATAAATGCGCAAATTTATTACTTTACATTAACGTTATTGATAAAAGTGCGGATAATGGAAATAGATACAACTCTCAATATCATCGAGAAGTAAATAATGTGTTGACCAAGCAGATTTTTATTTCGATCTAAGACATGGATACTGCGTGATATCAATGCGCAAAGACGTTAATTATGTGAAGGGTGAATTAGAAAATTAGCTACCACATTTGCCTATTTGAAATAATAATAAATAAAAACGCAAATTGTGAAAATAGCTAGCTTTGATACCTCTCTCCCAATAGCGTCAAATAAATTGTAACGTGTAGCATAGGATATTTTAATCATCATCTTAATAAATGCGCAAATTTATTACTTGCTCAATTACGCTCGACACGGTTGAGAGCATGCAATATATTCCTGTTGTGCCCTTCCCCCACCACCAAACCCTAATCCACCTAGAAAAGAAAACTTTAAAAAAAATGACAACCCACCACAGCAACCATCACAACCACTCGAAACCTCTGCAAAAAGATTTATAAAATTTTGTAACTTAATAAAATACGACTTCACAAGGTTAAATACGACCATGATTTTGTAATAAATAAGATAGTTCGTTGTCGTTAATTACTTTCCTCACCACTTTAATTTATTCTCTTCCATCAACTATGATCTTTTCATCAGATTCTGCAAAACCTTTTGACACAATCAATCTTTTGACACAATTAAGGACAATTTTCTTTTCTTTCGTACTATGCAGATATGACAAAATCTTGGAGAATACAACCGTAGATTTCATAACTTATTCCAAAAATTATTTACTTTCGAATACTATCGAGAGCAACATCCATTTATTTTTTAATGCGTAGTTCCTTTATTTCATTGTGCAATTTAATTTGCACTTTTATTTATCATTATTTTACAAAGGAAATTAAAATATGACTCGTTCTACACATAATTTATGTTTTGCACTTGCATTATCCATATCTTAGGAAAAAAAATCTAAAATTTAATTTGCAGCTAGGTCAACACTAAATTTAATTACCTATTGACAATGATATTTATTTTCACAATTAATTTGCACATGTATTAATACTGTTTAATCAAGGTAAATACATTCGAAAATTCTACAACACAATCTACACATTATGACGAGTTATATATATCCATTTTCTTTAACAATTTTCATTATTATCATTCTTTAAGAGAAGCAAATAAGTGCGAGAATTACTTGCTTAATTAGCTCAATATAGTCTCGATACTATTGAGAGCATGCAATCAATACCCTTTTTTCGCACGTAATGTAAAATTTCTTCGTTGTCTTCAAGGGATAATTAAATTAAATTTAGTCGCAAATTTATGGCCTATTCTACACATTATTTATTACTCTTGACGCTATTGAGAGAACAAAGTCTTGTATAAAGTGAAGCCACGTTAATTTTATTAAAAGGCAATCAATGTGAAGATAACTTTAACAAACTTTATGAAACATTAGCGTAATTTTTAATTTGTAATGACTATATTTTATTAATATGTATTTTCTAATGAATACATGTTATAAAACTAATACTCCTTCAATTATAAGCCTATTTTTTTTTTATTATGTGAGTAATAAATGTTAGAAATGGGTTTCTAATTTTAAAATGGAGAAAGTATGATTTTAGTTTAAAAGAAAACTAATATAATTAATCAGATACATAATAAGTGATTTTCTATTTTCTTAGAGTAAAATTTATGTTAAAAAATGATAATTTTTTATAATTTAGAGTGGCTTTAACCCGTCTTACAATTACTTATTGAGAGTACGTCCTACTTAATAAAAAAAATAAAAAATATATAAAAAATGTATATTGAGAGCAATATCAATTTTGATCTTATATCCTAAAACATACCCTAGATTGGTGACACACTGACACTCTGTACACCTAGCCCAATCCTTGACCTATCCAAAGAAAGCATGACTTAACTGACAATATAAATATTGTCCTCATTTTCCTCACCCACTATCCTTTTCATTACAAACCGCCACCTTACAGATTTTCAGGTAATTCAATTGCTAACTCAAAAACTATTTTCATCTTAATTTTCACTAATTCTAAACCCTCATTACATAATTTTAGCTTAATTCTTATTTTAATTTGTTGAAAATTTTCAATTACAGAGTTTGATCAATTTCAAGATGATGATGAACAACAACTCGTCAACAAAATCCGATTCCGAAGTTATCACACGAATAACTCTCCCGGATCAACTCATAGCAGACCAGATTCTATCAAGACTTCCGGTAAAACCCCTCATTCGCTTCAAATGTGTTTCCCATGGTTGGCTTTCTATAATCTCGAGTCGCGAATTCGCAAAAACCCACCTCCAATTCTCGCTTTCAAAACCTCAATGTCTCATTCTATCTGATATGTTTGATAGAAATAACTCGTACGGCCATTGTTTAACCTTTGATAAAGACTACAATGTCACCGATTTTGTTAGTTTGGAAAATAAATATCCCGCTTTCGGGGCTACTAGCAGTCGTCCACATACTAATAGTGTGGTTGACATTGCTAATGGCCTAGTGTGTTTGTACGACAGGCGGATTTTGAGTTTTCATGTATGGAACCCTGCGACGAACCAATACCGTTCTACTGGCAGTCCTGTCCCCGGCTATCATCCGGGGGAGAATACAATGGTTTTGGGTCTCGGGTTTGGTTTTATATCATCTATTAATGATTATAGGATAGGATGTGTGTTAAAGTGTAACAACGATTTGTATGTTGTTTATATATATTCCTTAAGGACCGGAGAATGGGAAGTAATGGAAGCTATGGATATGGAACTCGGCTTTTGTCGATGATTCAGTCTATTGGGCAGCCTTACTTCATCCGGATGAAGTAAACCGAAGTGAGGTTAAGGATCCTGTGGAATACTATATAGGTGGATTGAATTTAGCGAATGGAAAATTGAAGAGAGTCCAATTAATGGATTTGCGCAATAAAGATTATAGCATTTTTAAGGTGTTTCAGATGAACGGGTGCTTGACATTGGGTTGCATCGAGTATCATAATGATAGATTTGGGCTTAAGAGTTGCGAGTTTTGGATGTTAAAGCAACATGATGACCCGAGACCTTGGGTGAAATTGTTCTTCTTCTATTCTAATGGGTCAGATCTGCTACACTTATTTGAATCGGGAAAATGTTTGGTAAGTACGTTTGATTATGAGATGGATGGGCTTCTGTTACATGATCCGAGTCAGGAAGATGCTGCTGAAGAAGCTACTGTTGTTTGGAGAGGAGAGGAGGAAGGACAATTCTTCTACCATTTTAAAGGACATGCGATGAATTATGTTGAGAGCCTCGTTTCGCCTTTTGGAACAAACGTGTTTGATCAGGATGGAGATGCTCATTAGATTATAGAATGTGTTGAGTAGGAGACTTAATCAAGAATCAAATCCTCAAATAATGTATGAGTTATGTCATTGTAATGTTATAGTTCTCTTGCCATTTTGGCTAATGTTTTAGTCCTTTTTCTTTGTTTATAATCCAAATATTATTGTGTCACCTATTAAGTTGTTTTAAGTATTTTCTTCTTTGTTTACGGGCCGTGTTATACGGATTAAAAATTAATTATAGTAATAGTACCTTAATTGATTTGAATACAATCCTTATGGTATAACATCAAAAAAATAATTATATATTAAAATCCTAAATCACTAGTTATTTTTCCTTGCTTTTATCATAACTTGAATTTTTATACCAGTACTAAAATCTTATATGTATATATAAATTTTGGAACAAATTAATCCGCCATCATTTGAGACAAATTCCTGGAACATAATTCAATTCCCGTCAAACTCCTATTCCAAAAGCCATGGATGATTGTGCGCAATTCAGAACAACTAGTAAAAAGCCTAACTCATTTCAAATCTGTTTGCAAAGATTGGCTTCTTCACAATTTCTCAGCAAGCTCTCGTGCTGTCTACACTTCACCTAGATCTCGTCTTTCTTTTTTCTCATTCATGTATTATTTTACAAACAAAACTCAAGTGTATTATTTTACAAGAAATTATTTTATTGTGTTTGTTTGTTGCTCAATTTCGATTTATACGCAGTTGTTACAAAAATGGGGTTTTTGTTACAAATAGCTTGAGGAATATGATGATGTATATGTCCCAAGGTTGTTAAGATCAGATCATATTCGGAGTAAGATCAAATTGATAAATTCGAATTATAGATTGTATGATCCTACAATATTGATGAAAGAAGTAATAAAACCTTTGCTACATAACTATATACATACGGAGTACCTTTCAAACAATAAAAATGCTAAAATTTATAGTTTTAAGTAGCTTTTTAGCCTTAGAGAAAAGTAGGATTGTTAGAGCCTGGTCGATCCTAACAATCCTACGATCAGGTACAATTTTGACCAATCTTGTATGATCCAACAATGATCCGAGTGGGAAAATGGGATCATCGGATCTTGTACAATCCTATACAATCCTGCCCGATCATGTATGATCCTACAAGATCCTGCTACGATCCTTCCTACTTTGCGATTGTACTTCCAATCTAAACCGTATTGCTAAAATAATAGATCTCATAGGATAGCAGATTTAACAATGGTATGTGTATTTCAGATGCTAGACACGATTGCTGACATTTAAATGGATTCATATAACATAAATAACGATTGAATAGAATTTTGTACTTAAATATAATGAGTGTAGTTCTACAAGATAATTAGTGCTTCTATCGTAATGTTTTTATGATAAGTTCATTATCAACTTGTCTTATGAGTTATGATCCTTGGTAATGTGCAACGTACAAGTTGTATCAATAGAAGGAAAGGAGAAAGACGGATTAAATGAGAGAAGGGGAGGAGAAAGAGAATTATTTATGAGAAAGGAAGTGAAGTAGGATATAGAAAACGATCAAACGAAATAAGCAACTATTTGTAATGTTCGAGTAGAAAATGGAAAATTCGAATAGAAAATGGAAAACAACCATATGTGATGTCCTTTATAAAATGTTCTATAAAAAACAACTTTATAAAATGTTCTTTAGAAAACAACTATATGTTCATTCCGTCTTTTTTTAAAGAAAATCGGATGTACGGAGCATGGTGCATCCGCCTCCACGATAAAAATTTCAAATGACAGGTTTCCTCAAAAAAAATACTTTTTTATATACAATGTATTATAATAGACTACTACGTTTAGATGTATGATATATTTAGTGTACATGCACATTGACATAACCAAAGGTGCAATGGTCTAGAAGTCTAGATGATTGTATGCCTGCAAGATGAATTCCATTAAAAGGGCTGATGAAACATCATATATCAAATCATGGATACTATAATAGGATAGACCTCGGCAAATTGACAACATTGTGCTCATAGACCTAAAATAACAACCTTCCTACAACTTATATAATAATTTGCCACCGATTTTCTCACCTCTAGACTCAAAGTGCAAAATGCTCAAGACAACATTGGGTTGATGGATCAACCTTTCCTATCCTACAACAAATGTAACAATTTGCCACATATTTCCTTACCTCTCAATTCAAAATCCATTAGCACTTCTACCATCATGATAATTGACAAATGATGACAAAAATCATATCACTACCTACCAAAATTAACAGACAAACCCAAACAATCAGGGAAAAAAAAACTGGCCTTGAATCCTTGATAGAATTGAGAAGAAGGGAATCTGCTGAAAGCGAAGTCTGCATTTGCCACAAAGGAGGAAGAGAAACTTGAAATTACGAGAAAATCTTGAACAGCAGACCACCATGAGTTGCAAAGAATGGAGCAAAAACAAGGGACTCAACAGCCATTAGTTTGATCAAAATGTTCAATGAAGGGCCTGAGGTGTCCTTAAGTGGATCGCCAATGGTATCACCAATGACAGCTGCCTTGTGTGACTCAGAGCCCTTTGGTCCAAGACTCTTTGCATGCACTGAAGAACCAGCCTAACAGAATATTGAAGATAAATAATCAAAATTTGCCAGAGAAAAATAAATTGCACTACTTAAGTCTGAGATGTTTTGGTGCCTCCAGTTCTGAGATTATACCTCAATATACTTCTTGGCGTTGTCCCATGCACCACCAGTGTTAGAAGCAGAAATCGCTATCTGTTACAAGCCAGCCGAAGAGAATGATAAGCAAAGAAGCAAAATGTGAAGCATAAATCTGCAGGAGCCAGAATATAAGAATACCCCGGCTGGAAAATTCTATTCAAAAACGATATATACTGCATACTAGGAAGACTGGTTCTCTGCTTAGCTTATCTTTGTTTTCGGCTTAGTCTATACCTTTCCATTTCTGTAACATCAGTTTTCTTAAATAAGGTTCATGCAAATCCATATGGAATTATAGCTCTTCATAAGCATGCACAATTAGATAGTAGCTTTGTATTGATCACATACAATAAAGTTTAGACTTTAGATCATAGAGGTATCCCGATAGATTGAGCAAGCTCACAATCAATTTAAATCATCAATGATCAAGGTAATAATAATGGTAAATAAATAAATAGTTAAAACAAAAACAAGACCCTACCTGGACTCCAGAAACAAGGGATCCAGCCAGAACACCAGATAGAGTCTCAACACCAAAGAAGGTTCCAACGATGAGTGGAGTTAGCATGACCAAGGCACCAGGGGGATCATTTCTTTGATAGATGCATCAGTAGAGATCTTAACACAATTGGCATAGTCAGGCTTCGCAGTTCCGTCCATCAGACCAGGGATAGTGTTGAACTGCTTGCGGACCTCCTCCACCATCTTAAGAGCAGCGCTACCCACACTCTTCATGGTCATGGCAGAGAACCAGTAAGGAAGCATGGCACCAACAAGCAAACCAATAAAGACTTTGGGGGTCAAAACATCAACTGTTGAAATAGATGCGCGGCTGACAAAAGCACCAAACAGAGCCAAGGAGACCAGAGCAGCAGATCCAATAGCAAATCCCTGTGAAGCGGAAAATTATTAAGATCAGAATCTTCCCCTTTAAATGGTTACATGATTTTTGTGCAATTTAAAGAAAATCCCACTTCATCAAACAGCCCTAATTTACAATCTAGATGAGCCAACAAATCAACTATTAAATGCAAGAGTACGCTACAGAAACCGATTTTAGAACAAGGTGTAAATATATGATAAAATGAATCCTATGTAACCAAAAGAGATTCATAGTCATTCTAAACCAACAGTTGGCAAGAACAATGAGGCATAGCTAATATAACTAATCAAAATTCAATACACAGTTTATTACGCAGTATGTGGCCAATGCATGTCAAAGGGGGCAGAAGATACCTTTCCAATGGCAGCAGTCGTATTCCCAGCTGCATCAAGAGCATCGGTCCTGTCACGAATCAGAGAACTCATTCCCGCCATCTCAGCAATACCTCCAGCATTGTCACTGATTGGACCATAAGCATCAATTGCAAGACCAGTGGCAATGGTGCTCAGCATTCCAAGGGCAGCAACAGCAATACCATACATGGCAGCAAAGCTGAAACTGACAAAGATGCTGAGAGCTATAGCAAAGATGGGGATGATGACAGATTTGTAACCCAAGGCCAAACCAAAAATAACATTTGTGGCAGCTCCTGTTCGGCAGGAATCAGCAACATCTTGCACAGGACTGCCAGAGAAGTCGGTAGTTTAGTCACTAACATTTCACACATAGATACAAAACATACATTCATATCCAAGTCTCTGGAATAATGGCTTACCTGTATGCATTACTGGTGTAGTACTCTGTCACAAAACCAATGATGAGGCCAGCCCAAAGACCAACACAAACACATAGAAATAGTTGCCTGCAAAAATAATAATTGAGATAATCTATTAAATTGGAGTATCAACGGCTAGGGTATTTTCTCAAAGATTATTGAAGTGAAAGAGATTAGAATTTCTCACAAAAGTCAACAAACTAAAATAGAACATAACATTAATGTCTATTCTTAACATGCCTAATATATCTGCAAAAAAGCTAAAGGAAATACTTGTATAAGATAGTGAAAGAAGTACTCAGACCAACAATCCTTGACCAAAAAGATTTGAATTTATAATTTAAAAATAAAATTAAAAATTAAAAATTAAAATTAAAAAATTAAAAAAAATTAAAGAGAGAGACATAAATTTTCACATACATTGATACATAGACAGCTCTGGTTTTCTAAATAAAATCAACGACAATTTGACGATGCCAGAAATGCCTTGTACATATACTTGATCCTCAATAGCCATTATATTCTTAAAACCAAGCAACCAACATATAGATAGCTGTGCATAATTCCTCGGTCTAAAATATACGTGAACTTAGGCTGATTAGCACAAACATTGTACTAAAACTAGTATCCAACATCTAAAACCTGGCCAAATAGGGGCTTCCAAA